TGAATGTGACCTGCCTCAGGCTTCCAAGTCGCTGGAATTACAGGCTTGCACCACTGTGCCCAATGAAAGAACTGAGCCATAGGAAACACAGACTTGAACAGTGCATAGTAAGTGTGGAATAAAAATCTATTGAATACTTCCTGCTACATAAACTGAGATGTTGAAAGCAGGATACTAAATATTGATATTGTTCATTATTGAATTGGGTGCTTATCTTAAATACCAGTTTATCTACTTCACCTCTTCTTGTTTCTCTTTTACCATTTCCTGCATCTTATAATTTGAATAATTTAGAACTCCAGCCACCAGCAACGGGGCAGGAAAAACGGTTCAATGCAAGAAGACTGAGGGAAAAGTTTTGTGTTGTTTTGCTTTGGTAAAGTGTGTGTGTGTGTGTGTGTGTGTGTGTGTGTGTGTGAGTGAGAGAGAGAGAGAGAAAGAATGGTCATCAGTGGTGACCTGGTGATAAACAATTCCAGAGGACTGGTTTTAAAAAAATCAATAATTAATGCAACATATTTCATAGTATGCAACACCTTCCACAATTCCAGTACAACAACCTTCCATCCTCTCATCCCTCTCTTCACACTCTTGGCCCCGTGAGTTTCTTGACCTTAGTGTTTTTGTAACAAAGAATGCCTGAAAGGCATTTTCAACTCTCCTCTACCTCCATCTCCAACTGTTATGAGAAAAAAGAAAAGAAAAAAAGAAAGAATGAATTTTGGAATATCCTTAGTGAAAGTCTCCGTTTTTTAATTTAACATCACATTTCTCAGGAAAACAGCACACTACCCCTTCAAACTCATTAAAGCATATGTCTTGCTTTTAAGAAAAGACGTATAGTACATTTTCCTACGGAAAAAGGTAGAGAGGGAAAAAAGCGGAGGAGGTTATGGAGCTTCCTTCACTGGTTTCCTTCCTTTATGTTAGGCAGAAGGAAAACTAACTTGCGTTGCCCCCTCTGAGGTTCGAACTCAGGACCTTCAGATTATGAGACTGACGCGCTGCCTACTGCGCTAAGGAGGCAACCTTGTTACAGCTTCACACGGATAATTTACCAATGTTACTGGAAAAAAAACTACTATAAATGTTCCGAATCATAGTTTTCCAAAGTAATGTAAAACTGTGGTTTAATTAGTGTCTAAAACGGTTTGTATGACAAAGGCACGCAGAAAAGGCAGGGACCGACATCCAAATTCAATCCCTTTCCCTGCGAATCTTTCTGCGGAGACTCTAAGGACTGTAAGGGCAACTGAGTCCAGATTTCACACATGTCCTGAACCGAATGAAAAGAGGGCAGATTTTTAAAAAGGTCTCAGGATTCTTCCTTATTTTTCTCTAGCAGCAACCGGTTCAAACCAACGACCCCAGACTTGCTTACACTCGAAATCCGAGGGCTTATTTAACCGGTCCAACCTCAGTGGGTGTAACACCTTCCTCCGGTTTTGGAGATTGCCGAGAGCCTCCCTCCCTCTCCTCCCGCGGCGTTGGGTCAGGAGTCACCTCGGAATGCTGTTGGGAGTAAGGGAGTTCCCGGGTTGTGATGGAGAGCTAAAGGGAGGGCCTGCCACTAATTAGCAAAAGAGAGTGGGAAAAGGTAGCCGAGAAAGTACTGGAAATAGGCAAAATATTTCAGGAACTCGGTAAGGAGGAAGTACTAGCCGAGCTGTCTAAATCCCTACGAATGATTCCACCCCTTTAAGGACGTGGGTACGAATCCCAAGGACACTGGTCCGTTTTATCTTTTTTCATAGCCAATAGACAGTTCTCACAACTTCCCTATTCAGGCAGGTTCCTCTCCTTCCATTACCTGTTTTCCCAGGCCAGAGGTCACACATATTTATTGTCTCTAAAGCTGATACGTAATAGGGCTTCAACTAATTATTTCATTTAACGAGTACTTACTGAGTACCTATTGTGTAATATCCCTTAATCATCATTGTAGTTTCATCACCCAGAACTATCCAAGGTATAACAGGCTTTTATTTAATTCATTTGTTTATTTTAAAAGTATTATTTTGCACCTACTATGTATCAGTTACTTATCTAGGCCTGCATAAACCTCAGTACTTCCTTATTCTATTATTAAATAAAGAGATGATCCTCAGTCTCCCTGAATCCGCTTTCACCTTGAGACGGGTCCTGCCTACACCACTGAAGCAAAAAATCTGTCAGATCCCGGAGAAGACCCTATTCTTAGCATTGCCACAGCGATGATACATAATCATTTCATAATCTGAACCCGGATTACCCTGATCTGAATTGAGGCGACTCTGCAAAAGACCCCATTCTTCGCCTCCCGACTGCCCCTTTACATTCCACTAGCTAGGGACGCTCAAGTCTCCCGGTGCGTCTCTTTCTTTCTGGGGCCACTGCTAGCAGTTGCCTCCGTCCTCATCGCTTTTCTTCATCCTCTAGGCCTCACCCTAGAAATTGCTTTCTCCTGGAAGCCTAGCTTGAAGTCTCCCTCCCACAAGGTTCAGGATTACATTTAGCAGCTGAGGATGATGAGGGGGATAGGAAAGATGATTCCCGCCCTGGAGCCTAATGGAGAAAATAAGCCTTTAATGATGGCCCTAATATGACACATTACTGTAAAAAAAAAAAAAAAAAAAAAAAAAAAAAACACTATGAATGACATCTGAGATATATTGTTACCAGAAAAAAAGAGTGCTACACAATAATACAAAAGAACAATGTATAGAAAGGGCACAGTTCAGATTGTTACCAGTGATGTTATCAGGAGAGAGGAAAAGAGATTATAAATTTTATTTTCAACATTTGTTTGAGTTGTTAAAATAATGAGTTTATATTTATTTTACAAATTCAATAAGTGAATTAATGAATTCATAAAGAAATTTAAAAAAAAACTCAATCTGATGAGTGCAGCAAAGAAGAAAGACAGCATGCTGGGAACACAAATCAGATCTGGGCTCAATCATCTTTTTTTTTTTTTTTTTTTTTTTTGGCAGCTTCTAATCATATTACCTATTCTTAATTGGGTATTCCTCTCGGTATGTTTTGGGTACACTCTGTTATCACTCAATCCATCACTTATTTTAGCACTAACCATACTTCTTGAAAAGTTTTCTGAAATTGTCTGCTTTTTCCCATACATTATAAATTTTGTCAAAAGCGGAATCATTTTTCTCTTTCCCACGTCATGAAAATTAGTACTTATGGTAAGTTTTTGTGAATAAATACACGAAACAATGTCTTTCCAATTTGAGAAATGTGCAAATCATACAGAGATGAGGAGCCTGGATGGAAAACAATGAGATCTTAAGTTTTAGGTGTATTATGTGTTATTAAGTCCCTCCAACAGGACACTCCTGCTGAGTTAGGTTCCAGATCATTGATTATACCAAGAGCAAGTATGCAAGTATGCTTTTCGTGGACTGAGCTCTACTACCAGTAACTGCAAACCATTCTTGCTTAGATTACCAGGAAACAGCTGTTTCTAGATTGTGGAACTCAGATATCTCTTCCACTACTCATTCTCCTTGGTGACTTTCATGTGTTTGCATTCATTTTGCAATATCTGTGAGCCAATTATGGGCAATTTCAAGAAAATAGTTAAGCCTTCTTAACCTCAAACTCAAGAATAAATAAATCCACCCATGCCCTCTATTTTCCAGGTCTCTACTCATTGTTCTTTCCAGAAGATAAAGTTCCAAAGGTGAAAGAGAGAATAGTCATCTAGACTTACTCCCTTTTTCCTTCTTTGGAGGGAAATTTAAAACCTACAGTTCAAAAGTAGGCTTTTGAGGTTCTGGTGTCATATTTAAACTAATGAACACCCTCACACCTTTGGTGCTAGGGATCTGCCTATGTGCATACTAAACAAGCACTCCATCACTGAGCTACATCCCCAGCTTGTTAGCCTCCCCTCCTTTTCTTTCCTTCCTTCTTTCTTAAACAAGGTGGTGGTTTGTGAAGTAAAAAGGGTGCCACCAGAGCTAGGGAAGAAAGACCTTAACTAGATCTGAGATAGTATAAACCATCTTTTAAGGCTAGGACATTCCAGCAGATAGTATGGAGAGTTTATGTTTACAAAGGGAGGGAGTATGCACCTGAGAGGACTTTATAATCACCTATCCAGAAGTCTTTGGATTTCACACTACACTATTTCCCAAAACTCTATTCAATTCCATTTCTATTAATTGACTTTTTTTTAACAGGCACCTTGCTTGGATGAAGACATTCAAAAGAATGGATGCCAGAAAATGATTCCAGGATTCCTGGGTATCCACTTGGTGCTGGGACCGGGAAAGCCAAGAACGAAATGGAAAAAGAAGAGGAAGGGGAGAAGGAGGATTTAACTCCCTTTAGACTTGTCAGAATTAGCCTATGGAATGAAGGCAAAAAGAAATTCTCCAAAAAAATCTGAGGCTGGGCTACCCTACTGAGTATTCATTCGTTTGTCCATCCATCTGCCCTTCATTCGTTCATTCATTCACTCACCCTTTCATCTATGCATTCATGGAACAAACACTGAACTTCAATTAAGTACCAGACCTTGGGCTATATTAAAGCAGAGTGAAGATTCTGTCCTGTAATTACGGCACTTTGGAGAGGAAAGATAGATTTTAAAAGTTCAGACTCATGATTACAACTGAGGGGAAGCACTAAGATAGACGGAGTTAGCTCTAGATGTCTTCAGAAACCGATAAAATGAGTCAGTGACGCGGAAAAAGGGCTATGTTATATATGTCATTGTTCCCTTTCAAACGCTGGGGCTAAAATCAAGTTTGTCCTTTCATGGGTCGGAAATGAAAGGAAATTAGTCTCCCGAGGTAACAATATTCTTGAATCAAATCCCGCCCCTCCTGAGATGGAAGGAAAGAAACCTGGGAAGAAGCAGCAGTGGAAACAGTGTGTGACTCCTCCCCTCCCCCTCCCAACCTACGTTTGGCGTTTCTAACGCCCGGCCGCTGGAAAGTGGGGATATTTTCTATCCGGAAAAAAAAAATACCCTTGTAAAAATTATATTACATTAATTAGGATGCAAATACAGAGCTTTTATTTAAAGTGATATTTCATTTTCAATTTGTTTGATATAGTTCATTTTTCAAGAGTACAAAGAGACCTCAGATGGACAGTGTGTCCAGAGCTTGTCCGGAAGGGTTCCATGGTGTAATGGTTAGCACTCTGGACTCTGAATCCAGCGATCCGAGTTCAAATCTCGGTGGAACCTTTCGTATTGTCTGTCTTTTGCTTCTCTTTCTCTGGTCTCAAACAGTGTAATTTTCACCTTTTGAATTCCAAGTCTTTAGATTTTGATGAGCTCTGACAATGAGAAAAGGATATGTGACATGCAGTCCCAGTAATCAGTGAATTCTGAATCATTCTTTAATCACCGAATATATGTAATGAGCCTTTCTGTTCCCATCACACTAATTTCGTACCTCCTACTCCCCCTTGATGTCCCCAGGTTACAGCGAATTTAGTAAATGTGACTTTAATGAGCTGGCCAGAGAACAGGACAAAACGAGCTTTGTGATTAATAAACAAACAGGAAAAGGAAGAGGACCGATCTCAGTAAAGGTCCGTCATTTTAGTTAATATTAAACAGGAAAAAAAATAGAATAAGAGTAAAGAAATGGCTGAAATTATGGACCTCAAATAAACAAAAGTACCTGTGTCAGAAGTGGGATTCGAACCCACGCCTCCATTCGGAGACCAGAACCCTCAAACAGGAGGAAGCAAGGCTTGAGTCTGGCGCCTTAGACCACTCGGCCATCCTGACACACCCGGAGGTTTTTCTGAAATCATTATATTCTTCAATTGTAATGAATGTCCACACAGTGCAAACTACTACATTTAAAAAAAATAGTTTAACCAAAGAAATAGAAATACGAGTCGTTATAAGTAAACTGAATCCTCTTTCTTCGTAAAATCAGAAATTCTGAGCAACTCGTGAGGTTTTCCTCCTAATCCGGACTAGAATTTAAAGTTTCTCTCCCCTCACTTCCTCCCATGCCCAGTGTACAGAAGCGTGAAGATCCCAACAACATGGCACTGACTCCAGACTAGGCAAGAAAGTCCCCTTTATCCGTGATGTGAAAGGACACAAAGCACGGGCTCGGTTCCGAATGCTGCATGGCAAACCAAGCGAGTTGTGCAGGAAAGTGATCCAGAGATATGGACCATGTGAGTAAGCCTATGTAGACAAGAAGGGCAGGATGAGTGGGCGACTGGGGCCTTGAGCAGGAAGACTGGCTGTAAAAGTAACAGGAGTTGGTCTGATCGGGAGTTGAAAGAGGGAGAATAGCTGATGTGAAAAAACATAATGGCAGAAGGAAATATCAACAGAGAGCCAACATCCCCAGATCCCTTCACCAAACTTGCAGAACTAGACAAACAAGTTCATTCTGCTGAGGTGAATACTACTGCAAACTAGTACTACAGATAACAACAGACACAGACATTTATAAAGGTCCTCCGAAGAAATGGCCAGGTATCAATGTGATATCTAAAGAATCTCCAGTCCAAAATTTTGGCCCAGATCTACAGAACACCCAGCATCCGATTTTTCATTCATAATGTTAAATATGAATGACAATCAAGGACAACCAGATCTTTTTTGGAAATATTTCTACAATAAAGACAAGGATGAATACAAACAGGTCGGGAGGATCTAAGAGGAAACTAATACAAATGCAAGAATTTGGATGTCTTTTTAAAAAATTACAATTAAATCCTCAAGGAGAAGAAAGAAGATATTGCACTAATGAAACAAGAGAAGGCAAGGGAAACTCTTAAAATTAATATTATAATGGCAGAATTATTTTTGTAAATTTCAAAATAAAGTTGGAGAAATCTCTTAGAAAGTAGGGTGAAGAATGAGAAATGGAAGAGGATCAATAAGAAAATAATAGTGTAGAATAAAAGATTTATCCTCATACTACTGGGGCCTCCAGAAAAGAGGAGAAAATGAAGGAAATGAGATAAAGACAATAGATATAAAATTATTTTTCAGAACTAAAGACCTCAAATCTACAGATTTAAAGTCCACCAAATGTCCTGAATAATATGTAGAGAGGCAACCCTTTGAGGCATGTCATCACAAAACATCAAAAAATGAAGATCCTAGGGCTGGGGTTAAGGTAAGGGTTAGGGTTAGGGTTGGGGTTAAGGTTAGGGTTAGTTGTTTTGTTTTGTTTTTTCTTGAAACAGGGTCTCACAATGTTGCCCAGGCTGGTATTGACCTTCTGAACTCAAGAGATCTTCCCTTAGCTTCTTGAGTAACTAGAACTATAGGTGTAGGCCACAACCAGGAAATTGATATGGATATAATCTACTGATATTTATTTCTCACCATTTTCATATGCATTCATGTGTTTGTGTGTTTAGTTCCATGTAATTTTATTGTATATGTAAATAGCATACAACCAACACCACAATCAAGACAGAACTGTTCCATTGCAAGGTTCTCTGGTGCTACCATCTTAAAGCCTCAGATACTTCTTTCCTTCCCCTCTGTAAACCCTGGCAACTACTAGTCTGTTCCCTAGCTCTATAATTTTGACATGTCAAAAGAAAGAAAGAATGTTATGAGTGGAATAATACAGATTGTATGTAACCTTTTGAAATTTATATTTTTACCTGGCACAATTTGCATTTAAATTGATCCATTTAAATTGTTTCAATAGTTCATTCACTTTTAGTGTTCCATGGTACGGATATACCATAGTTTATATAACAACTTGCCATTCAAGGATATGCAGTTGTTTCCAAGCTTGACTGTTATGAATAGTGCTTTGTGCTGATTTTTGTGTGAACATGTTTTAATTTTTCTGAAATAAATGCCATTGATATTCAGATTTGAGATTCAAAACTGCAGTAGCTATTTTGCTACCTTATCAGAGAAACTTCCCCTGATCACCTAATAAGACTCCATCACTTTCCATCCTCCATATCCTGCCTCATTTCTCTTCATGGTATCTTTTACACTATTTCATATTTGATTCTTAGTTTATTTATTTTCTGTCTTTCCCTCTAAAAAGTAACTGCAGAAACTCAAGAACTTTGTTTTGTTCCCCAGTGTCCTGGAGACTAGAAGAGTGCCTGGCATAGTCAATACAATGACTGGCACACTCAACAAACATTTGTTGAATTAATGAATACATGAATTTCAGATCTCCATTCATATTGGCATATATTGATCTAACACGTTCATTTTTGTTAAAGCATAGCACTCCATTGTAAGCCTGCATAGTATTTTCCACTAACTTGTTCCCTAATGAACTATTTTTATGAAGGTTCCAGTATTTTACAAATCCAAACAATGCTGTAAGGACAATACTTGTATAAACAATCATCTGTGCAAATGGAAGAAAAGTGGAGTAGAAGGTTGCCGCAGCCGGCTGGCTGGGCAAAATAGCGGGGGTGGGGGGGTGGGGGGGGTGACCAAGAACTTGTGTAGATTGATACAGCAGGAGTAGGAGCCATTTATTGTAGGACAACAGAGGTATTTATACATTCCACACAGCTTATCTTAATTAGCATAAACTAGATACATCAGTCAACCAATAAGAAATCTCCACACTTAATGGCTTGCTGGTGTTACTTCACAAACCACTCCCTCTGGCATTTTGCCAGGCGCCATCCAGACTTGTTTACAGACTCTAACAGAAGGTTCAAAAAGTATGTGCATTTTTAAAAACTTAGCTACTGTTAAATTGCTTTCAATGATGTTCTTTCCGCTTATATTCCCACAGTGTGTTGGAATCTATATTTTCACATTCTTTTTTTTTTTTACTTTTTAATTTATTCTTTTTAGTTATACATGACAGTAGAATGTATTTTGACATATCATATATACCTGGAGTATAACTTCCCATTCTTATGGTTGTACATGATGTAAAATTACACTGGTTGTATATTCATATATGAACATAGGAAAGTTATTATTTATTCTATTGTCTTTCCCATTCCCACCCCACCATCCTGTCCCCCATGCCAACCTGTCCAATCCAGTGAACCCCCATCTCATCCTATCCCCTTTATTTTCACTTTCTTAACAATACTGAGTATTGTCAAGGTCTCCCATCTTTCATAACATTATAAATTAAAAGGAGTATCACCACTATGCAAAGGTTTATTGGTGGGGCTGGGGTTGTGGCTCAGTGACACAGTGCTGGCCTCGAATGTGCGAGGCCTTGGGTTCAATCCTCAGCACCACATAAAAATAAATAAGTAAAATAAAGGTATTGTGTCCAAATACAACTAAAAATTAAATATTTTAAAAAAGGTTTATTGGCCATTTATTCTTTTCCCTTGAACCATCTGTTCATATACTTTACTCATTTTCCTTCTCTTTTTGTTTTTACTTGTCAAAGTATTTTGTCTTTTTTTGTTATTGTTGTTTCAATTAGTTATACATGACAGCAGAATGCATTTCGACTCATTGTACACAAATGGAGCACAACTTTTCATTTTTCTGGTTATGCATGATGCAGAGTCACATCATTTGTGCAATCATACATGTACATAGGGTAATAGTATCTGTCTCATTCTACAATCCTTCCCAGTCCCATACTTCCTCCCCTCCCCTCACTCCCCTCTGCCCAATCCAAAATTCCTCCATTCTTTCCTTGCCCCCTGAACCTCATTATTGATTAGCATCCACATATCAGAGAAAATATTTGGCCTTTGGTTTTTTGAGATTGGCTTATTTCACGTAACAAGATATATACTCCAGGTCCATCATTTACCTTTAAATCCATAATTTCATTCTTCTTTAAGACTGAGTAATATTCCATTGTGTGTATGTATATCACAGTTTCTTTATCCATTCATCTAGGACCTGAAAGATGATCAATTATGCCTGGACAGGCCAAAGCCAGGAGAAACTCTGGTGGAGGTCCGTAGGGGTCCTGACATGCAAATCCACAAATTCGTAGTCTGACCTAGGTATAGGGGTAAAGACTAATCGAACCATCTAGTAGCTGATTCCCTCTGAAGTTTTCCTCAGGATAGCTGGTGCTCTCACAGAAAAAAAAAAAAAGATCTTTTAAGGAAATTCATCTGGTCTTATTTGTTAAAAATATCTTCCCAGTTCTCCTTTAGCATTCAAATATTTTGAGGTATTTTTTCATGTAGAAATTGTTTGATTTTTAATTTTATGTGTCGAGTTTCTGTTCTCGCTATTAAAAGGCTCAGGTGTCACTCCAGGAAAACTGGGTTGACTGGACTGCGCAAAATAACCACACAAGAGACACAAATACCATTTTCTTTGGGGTCGCTGTGAGGGGTCCTCTGACCTTAAGGGTCTGCAGGAAGAGAGAGAGAGAGAGAGAGAGCGAGTGTGCACACACGTGTACACACAGACACACAAACACAAATGCATGTGTGCTAACCCCTTTTATTGAGGAGAAGCTATTCAAATGAGGTAAGGGGTCAGGTTTCAGGGGGCCGAGTCCAGCTTCATGATGTCCACTGTCAGCAGGTTGACTGCAGCAGGCCACACCCAAGGGCACAGTAAGGGAAGGGGACTCACACTAGGCACTTCCATGGAACATTTTATCCTAAACAGGGCAAGGGGTAATATTACAAAGGAATAGGTGAGCATAGCCCTACCCATGGGGCTATAGGAAGACACACCGAGCAGGAAGACAGTCACTCGAACCCTAGAAGAGCGGGGCAGTCTAGCAGCATGGGTGCCAGATGCCACATCGCCCAGCAGGAGAGTTAACTCAGTCACATGCGAGGTTGGTCTCCACATTTATGTAATCAAATCAATCAATTTGTGGCTTCTGGATTGGAGTAACATTTAGAAAGAAATTTTTTAAAGTCAATCAGGTTGAGCTAGGATGGTAGTCAGGGGTAGAGCACTTGCCTAGCATGTGGGAGGCAATGGGTTCAATCCTTAGCACCATATAAAAATAAATAAATAAATAAATAAAATAAAGGTATTGTGTCCATCTACAACTAAAAAAAAATTAAAAAAAAAAAATCAAGGGCTGGGGATGTGGCTCAAGCGATAGCGCGCTCGCCTGGCATGCGTGCGGCCCGGGTTCCATCCTCAGCACCACATACAAAGATGTTGTGTCCACCGAAAACTAAAAAATAAATATTAAAAAAAAAATCAATCAGAAAGCAGGCTCAGTAGCGAACATCTGTAATCCCAGCTGCTCAGGAGGCTGAGGCAGGAGGATTGCGAGTTAAAAAGCCAGCCTCAGCAAAAGTGAGGTACTATGCAACTCAATGAGACCCCCATCTCTAAATAAAATACAATATATATATATATATATATATATATATATATATAATAAATACAATATATATAATAAATAAAATACAATATATATATATATATATATATACACACATGTATACATATATATTACATATATATATGTTAGAGTCTGTAAACAAGTCAAAATTACACCTGGCATTTTGCCAGGGGAATGTTAGAGTTCGTAAACAAGTCTGGATGGTGCCTGGCAAAATGCCAGAGGGAGTGGTTTGAGAAGTAACAAAAGCGAGCCATTAAGTGTGGAGATTTCTTATTGGTTGACTGATGTATCTAGTTTATGCTAATTAGACAAGCTGTGTGGAATGTATAAATACTGCTCCTGTCCTGCAATAAACGGCTCCTACTCCTGCTGTATCAACGTAAACAAGTTGTTCGTCACCCCCCCCCCCCTGCAGCCGGACTGCGGCAGATGGTGGCCCGTTATGGGGAGCCCCAGGACACTCGGGGGTAAGTGACGGGGGAAAAAAAAAGCTTCCCGTCCATAGATAGGACGGGAGCAAATCTGCTCGTCCCCAGGCAGATAGGGCAAGAGAAAAAATGGCGATTTTGAGAAAATGGAGAAGATTGATACAGTATGTTTGTGTCTTGTTTTGTCTTGAAATGTTGTATTGTCTTTGTGATGAAAATATGGAAGGGGTGAGAAGTAAATTACTAAGGGAAGGAGGCACCCCAGTGAAACCAAGAATAATTAGGGCATGTGTTGATAAGAGCCCAGGAACTCTAGTCAGAAAGAAAAAGAAAGTTCAGAAGAAGAAGGATTATCAGGAAAAAAGTTGCAGCAAAAGGCTATTACTAAATACTTTTCATTACCGGAGGGTGCGTGAAGCGGAGAGGCGGCTGCCGAGTGTGCAAGCTGGTCACAGCGCAGCAAGGATTTTCCAAGAGGCGGCGGCGACTGGCCCTTCCCGCCTCCTGGCCGGGGAGCTGGCTCTTCCACTGCTGCGAGCCCAAATCTAGACCTGACCTGGAGGCACAGTCTCGCAGGCTCTTGCTCCCTGTGCCCAGTAGCAGTTTGAGTCCGGGACACTCCCCAGGGCGATCTGGGGCTACCCAGGCGCTACAGCCAACAGAAGACACTACCAGCGTCCCTGATGTTTGGTCATTTTCAATGCCAATAACTAAGCTACAATGGTTCTCCCACACCTGGAAGCTGATGAGTAATGAGCACTATTAATGCTTATTTCAAATGTAAAAAACCTTGAGATAATATACTAAATTGTTCAGAAGGTTGTTTTCTTAGTAGAATGCTACAGGATTTTCTTTAGCCTTCGTCCCAGTGCCGGTAAAGACCAAGGTGGAAGAATTTCCAGTGTTGCTGAAAACCGGACGAAACTTCAGCTGAGAAACAGACGACACTTCGGAGCTGTTGCTGTTTCTGCTACTACAGCTTAGGCTAGCTGCCTGCAAAACTTACCTGGACTGTGATTTAAGCTAGCTTCCTGCAGAACTTACCTGGACTATGAACTTACCTGGACTGTGAGTTAATCTATTGAGACACTGCTTTATCTGGACTGAGACAACAAACTGTAATCTACAACAAATTGTAACTCGGTATCTTTGCTAACGCTGTCATTGCTGGTATAATTTTTCCAAGGGCTTCTTGCATGGAGCCATCAATTGGCTTGGTATTGTGGCATTTTGTATCCTCCCTTTCTGTTTGTAGCAGGTTATTTATGGTGTTTCTGTAAAAACCACTATGGTCGTTATTTATATTAAACAAAAGGGGGAAATGTTAGAGTCTGTAAACAAGTCAAAATTACACCTGGCATTTTGCCAGGGGAATGTTAGAGTTCGTAAACAAGTCTGGATGGTGCCTGGCAAAATGCCAGAGGGAGTGGTTTGAGAAGTAACAAAAGCGAGCCATTAAGTGTGGAGATTTCTTATTGGTTGACTAATGTATCTAGTTCATGCTAATTAGATAAGCTGTGTGGAATGTATAAATACTGCTCCTGTCCTGCAATAAACGGCTCCCTCTTCTGCTGTATCAATCTACACAAGTTGCTCATCACCCCCCCCCCCACTCGGTTATTTTGCTGCAGCCGGACTGCGGTATATATATATATATATAATGTAATATATATATATTACATATATATGGTAGATGGACACAATACCTTTATTTTGTTTATTTTTATGTGGTGCCTGGATGGAACCCAGTGAGTGCCTCATGCATGCTTGGCCAGCGCTCTACCACTGAGCCATGACCCCAGCTGGCTGGGTTGATTTTTTTTTTTTTTAAGATATTTTATTTTATTTTTAGTTGTAGTTGGACACAATACCTTTATTTTATTTATTTAGTTTTATGTGGTGCTGAGGATTGAACCCAGGCCTTGCACATGCTAGGCAAGCGCTCTACCACTGAGCCCCAGCCCCAGCCCGCTGGGTTAATTTTTTAAATTGAAACTTTTTTTTTTTTAAAGTTTTTTGAATTGATCTAAAATATATTTTGGTGTAACAAGTGAGATGTGATTTTTTTTTCCTATCAAACAGCTTGTTAATAATTCCAAGATCATTTACTGAATGTACAGCACCAATCTGCAATTTTTTTCTTTCTCTTATACTAAACTCTTATTGACATTGTGGTCTATGTCTCAATTTCTTATTGTGTTCCATCAATCTGTTGGCTATTTTTTACATTATGTGTTGTACCTTGTGTTTTTCCTATTTTTTCCAGACTAACTCTGAAAAGTATCTCTTGGCTAAGGGTAGATAAGAGGAGATAAGAGGAAGTAGAAATATTTTCTGTCTCATGGAGTCCTATTCAGTTTGCTGCTTGGAAGACAAGAGGGTGTCAACAGTGTCAAATGCCTGTGAGATGTCAAATGGAGATTGTCAAAGATTCCCTGGATTTAGCCAATACAACAGAAATCACTAGTTCCCTTAGGCAATGTAGATTGAGGAAAGTTAGCAAATAGAAAATTACTTTAAAACATTTTATTAATCCATATATATTATTTATAGGGCCTGTAGATCAAAGAGTTTAGTCAATGTTTTGTAGACAAAAGGGAAATTTTGAAGATTTCTGAATAAGAAGTGAAAGAATGAAAAAAGCACTATAGTTTTTAAGGATGATTATCTCCTTGGAGGTGATACATAAATGGATTGGAGAAAAAGACTACAAAGAGACAAGTACCTGAAAGGGTTGCATTTATCTGGCTACAAATTCTTTTCAAAAACATTTGCAAACTGATACATTGTTTCAATGATATAGGTCAGGGTATAGTAACAAAAATTAAAATGAACAGGCAACTTGATCAATAGAGCAGATCATAATTGAATTAAATCTATAGGGTGAAAGGAAGATAGTAATCATTTAAGAAAGGGGACTAATAGTGATTACGGAATATAAATCTTCCCTTTCCTTTACTCCCACACCATCCCGCTAATCTATTTTGTTCTTCAATTCTTTACTTCCAGATCATCTGCCTCCAGAAGTTATGAGGGGCTAAGATAATGAAGCCAGAATTAGACAGTCAGTCAGTGTAGATAGGTAAATCGAGTCAGGTTGGATCAAGGAGGCCAATTTTGAAAGGACTTTGGAGACTGTCCCCTGAGGGATTAAAATGTTAATTCCTTCAGAGCCCTTCCTCTACCCTAATCAAGAACCTGCCCCAGCTCCAACCAGTTGCCAAGGTAACCAGTCCCAGGAATTTCCCCTCTACAAGGAGCTATAAGGTTGTTAATGTGTACTTGGCTACTCCATCCTGCCCTTCCCCCTTCAGCCCACCTGTTTCCCACCTTTTGGCCCTCCTACCAAGCATTCCTGGGCCTAGTCACCTATGCGGGAAGGAGAAAGATAAGTGGGGAAAGGCATACAAAAAGGGCAGAACACCTCACTTATTAGGATACCAGCTAAGGGGCCCCTTCTTCCTCCCAGACAGAAGTCTATGTTACCCCTTTTTAAATAAATCCTGCTTCATATGCTTGCCTCAGTGTGCTTCTCTAATGCTCAAACTTCAACATGTGGGGAAGCAGGACTACACAATCAATCCTAAAAAACAAAGTCAATCTCCAGGCCTGTGTCCCTAAAATAAGGATATGATAGGTAGCCTTATCTACCATCATATCTTTTGTATTTATACACTGTTTTGACATTTTATTCTTTTCAAAGTAAATCAGAGTAGAAATACACTTAATTTCTCCAAATCTCAATTGTGACTCAATTTCAAACCAGGATAAAACTTTGATGTGGCCTGGCATTTTACTGAAATGCTCTAAAGTGATTTACACTTGAGGTTTCAACACTGGGCACTCAAGAGTATGATTCAGAGGGAAAGGTAGGCTTAGGGTTGGCTAGTCCATTCAGTGCCTGGATTTCGTGCCCCATAGGTAAGAGGACCAGAATGGAATCCTCTTAAGTGATGTTTGGGAAGGAGAAGCTCCTCTTGCTCAGATAAAAGAACAATACTAAGAAAATCCCAAAGGAAAGTAGGAAATACCAACTCAGGGATGAGGGGGCAATGTAAGAGTAGGACGTCTACTGGATAAGAGAATGGATTTTCGGAACTATAAGACCCCTACAATCACAGGATTTTCAGTGTTTCTCTACAGAAAGAAATGAGCATTTTTTAGGTTCTATTCAATACAACAACCCAATGCGCTGGATATTTTATTATAATTTCAATGAAAGTAATGGATCAACATCCTCATAGTTCAAAATAAAACAAAGTCTACCTCCTTGTGAGGATATAGTTATCATTCCCATTCCGGGGGAGAAGAAACTGAGGCTTAGATCAGCAAACCAATCTGAATGGAAAGTAGAAGAAATGCACTGGTCTGTTTCTGACCTATAGAAATATTACTGTGTGACAATTAAACATTTCTTTTTCTAAGAATCCTGAGTACTTGTAGTTGGGTGTGTTACTAAAGTGTCTCACTTACCAGGTGGGGCTTATCTGCTATTCCCATCCTCTGGGCCTCATGGGAAGCCAGAAGTCTGAGCTTCCCATTACCTACACAAAGCCATCTTTCTTTTACAGGGGCCGAGGCCTGGGCACCAAAAGGAAACCCAACAAAAGACTAGGGGTCCAAGCACTGCGGCCGCAGAAGGTTGGATGTAGGCCAGGACCGGGCTGGCAGGGGATATTCTGTCACCGCTGCGCACAGCAGACACCACCTGCTCGTGTGACCGATCTTGGAGGCTCCAGTTCTGGCGCGTTCCACTCAAGGGCAGGTGGCTGGGCCTCTCAGTCGTCTGCAGGAGGAAACAGCCAAGCCCCAGGCCACGGAATCTGGCGGGGAGCTGGAGGCGCGGGCTAAGCCCCGCCTGCCGGGCCGCCTCTTCCGCTCGCGCCGGGGTGGGGCAGACGCGGCCGCCTGGATCCGTTCGGACGCGGCCACGTTGTCTTACGCGCCCAGCGCACCTGGCCCTGAGAACCTGGACACCGGCTCCCTCTTCCTGCCCCCCCGCCCCCCAGCTTTGTGGGGCGGTAGTATTCCTACGCTCACTCAGCGGAGCACAACCGCTCAAGGAAAGGCCTGGCCGTCCCGAGACTCCAGCGTGCGGGCACGTCTGGAATCTGGGCTCGAGAGGCGCCGCCCTCGGTCCGTCCAGCTAGCCTCTCCGCGCCGCCTAGGAGCAAAGAACCAGAGAGAGCACAGGAGAGTGGGGCTCCGCGCAGAGCTCGGCGCCCGGGCCCATGCCCGTGCGCCCCCGCGGGCCCCCGCTATGGCCTCCGGGAGCGTGGCCGAGTGCCTACAGCAAGAGACCACTTGCCCCGTGTGTCTGCAATACTTCGTCGAGCCCATGATGCTCGATTGTGGCCACAACATCTGTTGCGCGTGCCTCGCCCGCTGCTGGGGCGCAGCGGAGACTAACGTGTCGTGCCCGCAGTGCCGAGAGACCTTCCCGCAGCGGCACATGCGGCCCAACCGGCATCTTGCCAACGTGACCCAGTTGGTGAAGCAGCTGCGCACCGAGCGACCGTCAGGGCCCGGCGGCGAGATGGGCGTGTGTGAAAAGCATCGCGAGCCCCTGAAGCTGTACTGCGAGGAGGACCAGATGCCCATTTGCGTGGTGTGCGACCGCTCCCGGGAGCATCGCGGCCACAGCGTGCTACCGCTCGAGGAGGCGGTGGAGGGCTTCAAGGTGAGGGTCCGGCGCGAAGAGTGGGGAGGGGTAGGAGCGCGAATCGGACAAAGGGAGGGGAGAGTCAAAGGGGCTTCCCTTTTTTCCGCCCAGAAAATGGCTGAGCCGGACGTGTGGTTCACAGCCGTCATTTCCTCTCCGTCAGCTATAGAGCCTCTGCACTCAGATTTGGGAAGAAAACCTGTAGCTGGCGAGGAAAACAGAAGTCTCCCCACCCCCCACACTCCTTTCCCTGTATGCTTGTCTCACCCACACATTGTGCATAAAGATGGCCTGTGAAGGCCTTCTCTTGACAGTATAAAAGATGTGCGTAAAAACACGTACACATCGACAAGCTTATGAGACACTCGTATTCCCACCGGCTCCACGATAATATCAGACAAAACACATTTGAACGTTGACTGTGTACATGAAGCAGTGCCCATTCCGTGGTTTACGAGTATTTCTCCAGCACTCACTTTAACCCTTCTGTTCTAGAAGCTCATGGAAAAGAACAGAGTTCTTTACTGCTTGAGTAAATCATTTAGCCACTCAGACTCAGGAGATAACAGTTATTGTGAAGATTAAGTGAAATGTGACTTACAGAACACTTTGTGAACTGTTGAACACACATTGGACAGCTAAACTAACATGGAAATAAAGTATAACGTGAAATAGTTCTAGGTGACATTTAATGAATACATGACGTTTTGTGTTTTTTTGTACTTTGAGGACTGCAGGGATATATACACAATTATGTCCCTGTTTAAATGTGAGTGCATCCATGTATAATTAATCTTGTAACATTTGTGGAACTTCCAGTTATATCATTTCACTCACTCATGGTAATTCCTAGTATGTTGGGAAGGCGTTGTTTACCTATGTCATCCATTAAGAAAATAAGAGAAGTCATTTTCTCTGTGCCTGTGTGGAAAAGCTATAATTGAACTTTAAGCTCCTTCCTAGTCTAGTTACCTTTCCACAAAGCCATGCAGCATCCTTCCAGGGACTGGTGGGTAACTCAGTGTTTAAGAATCACAAATTGCCAAAAGATAGTTTTGGTGGCCACCCGAGCTTTAGGCTTTTCTCTGGTGCATGGCAGTATAGTCTGAGGACAGGCTTTAAGCAGGGACTTCGCATTAAGACTGTGTGTTCCATTTATGATAAGAAAAGTAGCCAGGCTTATACTAAAAAGGTCTGCCAACTCTTTTGCTTTCTTTAGGAACAAATCCAAAACCAACTGGACCATCTAAAAAGAGTAAAAGACTTAAAGAAGAGACGCCGGGCACAGGGGGAGCAGGCACGAGCTGAACTCTTGGTAAGGGTTGTTGGAATTCTTAGATATCACTTCTGCCAAGAGATGTTACTCTTTCTTGACAATGCCTCAGTTCTGAATTTTTCACTCTGCTTTCTTGCTCCAGTCTCTGAAGGTCTTGAAAAGTGGCTAATGTGCTAATTCTGATAGAAGAATTTGGGAGTTTTGTTTTAAAAAATCAAAAAAATATAGAGACTTTTATAACATACACTTGTATATTCACTGCCCAACTGTTTAAATTTCTTTTTTTAAACATTTTTTTAGTTGTTGATAGATCTTTTTTTTTTTCTTCTTGTTTTGTATCTTGGGATTTTTTAAAGACCTTTATATTATTTATTTATATGTGGTGCTGAGACTCGAACCCAGTGCCTCACACATGCTAGGCAAGTGCTCTACCACTGAGCTACAACCTCAGCCATTTAAATTTATTTTTGAACAATAAATGAAATAAGTCTGTACCCTTTAAAGGTATCTACATCTAAAAAGCAAACTTCTAGACTAGTAGTGTCTAAGTTAATCTTATGTGAAATTTTTTTAGTCCTGATCTGGATATGGTAAAGAACTCCTGGCTAGGGAACTCATTCCTTTGGTGTCCTTAGATCCCACTACGTGCACTTCCCACAATACGCTGAGACTTCACCTCCCCTTGGATGAAATATCTCAGTGAAACTGAGTAGACTGAAATGATTATAATGTCTTCTTTGGGAAGATTGTCAAAAATGAGGGACAACCTTTCTCTGAAAATCAGGGTGCCTGAACATATTTAGTGGCTCTGACACTAGCCAGTTTTTTTAGATGGATAGAGCGCAACCACCTCTTTTGGCCTTAGTTTCCCCATCAATGAAATGGGTCAGTTGTACTAGACTTGTGATTTTCCAGCAAGGCTAGTACTGTCCTTTCCCTACAATGGTGTGTGTGGGTATTTCTTTGTGACTGAGGATTAGAGTAATTGGAAAGGGTAAGGCAGGGATGGTAAATGTCTTAACAACGCAAGAAACAGTCCCATGCTAGGCAGAATTATTCCTTCTAATGGCACCTCCTTTGAGAAATACTGAATTATGTGATCTTTAAGGTTTCTTTCAGCTTTGATTTACTGTTTTTAAGATTTATTGTATGGTTTATGTCTTTGAAAGACTTATCCAGCTGAAAAGAGTTATAAACTTATGAAAAGGATTTATAAACCCAGGTATGTACATATTACTAAGTTGCACAGTGAGTATATGCTTAAGAAGGGTGGTTAGAGGAATGGTTGTTGGAGGAATGTTCTTGGGGAACAGGTGAATTTAGAACAGGTGTTTGTAGACTTTACATAAAGAACCAAATAGTAAATATTTTTAGTTACTTGGAATATGTCACAATTATCACCTCTGCCATTTTATCTCAAAAGCAGCCATATCAGATACATAAATGATTGGCTATGGCTGGATTCTAATAAAGCATTACTTGATTCCTTTAAAGCCATTTGCTAACCCCTGACTTAGAACAAAATGATAATAGTGTCCTGACAGTGGGACATGGGAGTAGAGAAGGAAGGATAGATAGATAAGCTGTGACAAACAAGTTAGCCACAGGAGGGAACCAGGGAAAACCTCAGTACTTCCCCAAGCTCTGTGAGACAGGGCAGTTTGTGAACACCCCTGAAAACCAAATATAGAAGACATGGATTATGAAGGGCCCAAGGAAATTGTGTTTGTTTCAAACTGTACCACACAGGACACATATCTGATTGTGTTATTTCTCTGTGTGACAATCTTTTATGGCTCTCAATTGCAACAAATTCCTTACTCCTTAGCCTGGTATGTTCTCGTCTCCTCTTAACTCTTCTGCTTTCATTCCTTAGCACTTATGTACTCCAGACAGATAGAACCATTGGCCTTCTCTCCCTACTTTTTTGCCTGTGCTATTTCTTCTCCCTAGAAAACCCTCCTCTTACTCATTTGGTGAATTCGTGTGTGAACACTGATTCTGTGAAGACTGTGATACCTCCTTCCACAGCAGCCTGTTACTCTGTCTTTACCCATCCAGGACTCTGTGTAGCACATGAGAGCAGGAACTGTGTTTTAATAACCACTAGGATAACTCAGTTCCTTGCCATTATGGTAAACATCATAAATAATGAGTAAGTGAACACAGTGAAATAATGAATAAGTTTTAGTATCTTTGGATAAACTGACTTGGGGTGAGTCACCAGGGGAGAATTGTGAAAAGAGCTCTAGAAATGAGCCTTTTCTCTTCACTGCCCTTGTCTATCATCTGCACAGAGCCTAACCCAGATGGAAAGGGAGAAGATTGTTTGGGAGTTTGAGCAACTGTATCATTCCTTGAAGGAGCATGAGTATCGCCTTCTAGCCCGCCTTGAGGAACTAGACTTGGCCATCTATAACAGTATCAATGGTGCCATCACCCAGTTCTCTTGCAACATCTCCCACCTCAGCAGCCTGATTGCCCAGCTAGAAGAGAAGCAGCAGCAGCCCACCAGGGAGCTCCTGCAGGTAAGACATGAAGAATCCTCCTAAGACACCTCCAATAAAAATAGCCTCTTTTTTCCTTTGCCAAGTAGTATCCAGGACCTTCTGTTTCCTGGTTAACTGTGCAGGAGTTGCACAGGTGCCAAACTCATGTACTGAGTATGTTGGAAGAAAAACATACACCAGAAGCTGTGGTTGACACAACTTGGATTATCAGTTACATTGTCTCAGAAAAGGCAAAGGGAAGACCTGGTGCCCTGGCCTGCCCTGATAAATGTTCTGATCATGGGCAAAGTTCTTCATATCTTTGGGTTTAGTGACTTCAATAAGAGGGGCTTGGATCACATGCCATTTGGAGAGCTCCTCATTCCATTATCCTGTAATTTTAATGTATACATGTATATTACCATAGCTACAAAATAGCAAGCACTTGAGCAGGAGTTGGGTAGTCCTGTGATTTTACTGTTTTAATGTAGTGAGAGAGCTGCAGTAGATCTAGCCAGGTAAGATTGCAGGCAGTGAGCTATTGCCCATGTGTTCGCTCATTCAGTGCATACTAATTGTCTGCTGTGGATCAGGCATTGCTCTAAGCACTGGGATTAAGTGGTGAGTAAGCTTCCCTGAGTTATATTCCAGTGTGGAAGCCAGAAAATAAGTAAATAATTATTACAGTTGTTGACAAAGGCCATTAAAAGGGATGATGAGATAGACCAAGTATCAGCAAATATTTAAGATAATTGGAAAAAGAATATACTTTGCAATAGGTGAAATTATATGAAATCCAGATTCAGTGACCATACATTTTTAATTGGCACACAGCCATGCTTATTCAGGTGTATATCCTCTATCATTGCTTTTTCATTATAACAGTAGTGTTGAGTAGTGGTGACAGACTGAATGGCTCACAGAGACTGAAAGACTTACAAAGCCTAAAATATTTACTACGGGCCTTTAAGAAAAAATTTATTGACTCTTACTTTAAAATAACAAGAAAAAAAGAAAAGCTTAATTCTTAACATACATTGCTATTTAATTGTCAGGCAGAGCTTGCAAAGAGGACAGTTGACCAGAGAGGCAGAATGTAATCAGAAAGAAAGACTGTTTTGGGAAGGAGGGAGTGGACAACAGGGTCCAGTGCGTTTGATGTCAGATAATATCAGAGCTGATATCCATTTGGTTTAAAATATGACTGCCATTGATGACCTTATGTAGAAATGCCACAGTGGAATAATTTTGGGCCGGAGTTAAATGGTGAATGGAGTGGGGTGAATGGAGACTATGAGAGAGTAGGTGACTATTTAAAAAATGAAAATGAAAGAAAAACTTAGAGATGAAGTAGATTTGTGGGGCTTTATCTGGAGGAGATGCTTAAAGAAACCAGTTAAACTTATTTTCAAAGTCTGTGTTGTAAGGATCCAGATGTGAGGGAAGATGTCGAAGCGGTGATGGGCTTCAGGATAGTGTGCTGTCTCTGAGAAAGCAGGGGGAATGGGAATTAAAGCATATGTTCAGAAGTTAGTTTCAGAAGGTCCTCTCTTGCATGGGAAGAAATTATTATTTCAAAATATGGGAAAGCCAGTTAGTCCATGAGACATAGGATAATTTATAATATAATGATTTAAATGATATGATTTAAACCAGTCATTTATAGTAGAACCATCCTGTCCTGTTGTGATTTTCTTTTGTGCTTTTGTGTCAGATCTAGTGCAAACACTGAGAAAGAAGTTAGGCCTAAGATAATTGGAGTTTTTTGTTTGTTTTTTTCTTTTAAGAAATGTTTGTAAAATATACAGAATATAAATTTCACTATTTGTGTAACTCTGTGGCACAAAATAGCATTCAGTAAATTTACAATGTTGTGCAATTGTCAATAACTATCTAGATCCAGAACATTTTCATCACTCAAAAGAAACCACATATAATTAAGCAGTCATTCCTTTCCCCTTCTGCCTCCAACCCCTTGCTCCATGCATCTATCTATTCTGGATATTTTATATAAGTAAAATCACATAATAGTCTTTAGCTTCTTTCACTTGGCATAATTTTTTCAGGTTTATATCTATATTGTAGTACATATTCAATATTTTATTTCTTTCTATAGCTGAATGATATTCCATTGCATGGATATATACTGTATTTTGTTTACTCAAGATTTAATGAACATTTGGGTTGTATCCACATTGTAGACTAGTGAATATTGTGAATAATGCTAATCTTTGCTGTGTTATTTCAGTTTTTCTATATCTGCTGTTGAAGCAGACACCATACTCAAAATTTTAAAACTTTTTTTTTTAAGCAGAAGGTTTTTATGAGAATATTTTTGAATATACAGATAATGAAACCAAAGCTGGATGATAAGGAAAGTGGAAAAAGAAAGAGGGATCATGGACTTAATGATTGATGATGACAATCAAGTGTGTTTATGAAGGAATTCCGTAGAAAACAAGCTGAAGTTATAAGAATAGGAAAAGAAGTTAACATACAGAAATTAGCAGCCTCCATATGCGTATATAACAACCACTAGAAAATATATTATGTATTGGAAGAGGACACCATTTCCCATAGCAAAAAGAGAAAGAAAATAGATAAAGTACTTGGAAATACACTGAGAAAATCTATATAAAAACCTATGTGGAAGGGAACACCTCTCAAAAACACAAAATAGAAGTGAAGAAATAAAAAGATATTCTTCATAAGACATCTCAGCATTAAGTTGTCAGTTCTAAAGTTTTTTATAAGTTTAATGCAATTTCAATAAAAAGACCAACAAGCTTTTTCTCTGAATTTAGAAAGATTCTGGGATACACTGAACAGAGCAGCGGGTACTAGCCCTATTAGATATTAAAGTATAATAAAAAGGTCTGTAAAATTAAAGTAGTTGGTATTAGCATAAGAGAAAAAATGTCACAGGCATTGTAACCAGTCAAAAGTCAGTGTCAGATTCAAAGAAAATGTCTGCAACGAATAGTACCAAAGCTCCAATATATAAAGAACTTACTAAAATTGAGGGGGGCGGGGAATCAAAATTTTCTAGGAAAATGGACAGAAGACTTAAAAAGGCAAGTTGCAAAAGTTGGCCCATGAACATATGGGAAAAAATACTCAACTGCATTTGTAATAAGAAAATGCACATTGGGGCTAGGGCTATAGCTCAATTGGTAGAATACTTGTCTTGCAAACACAAGGCCCTGGGTTCAATCCCCAGCACACACAAAAAAAAAGAAAGAAAAAAAGAAAAGAAAATGCACATTAAAATGCTAAGATACCCCTTACCAGTTAGTGTAGAGATATATATAGATTTTTTTTTGGAGACAGGGTCTCTCTAAATTGCTTAGAGCCTTGGTAAGTTGCTGAGATGGCCTTGGCCTTGAACTTGCAATCTTCCTACCTCAGCCTCCCAAGCTGCTGGAATTACAAGACGTGAGCCATCACACCTGGCAACAATATAGTTTTAGCATAATATGCCATTGGCAAATATGTGGGAGAGACATATTATTGGTGGAAATGCAAAATCATGAAACCATTTCAGAGGAAAATTTGGCAATATTTAACAAACCACACACACACACACACACACACAAGCAGTTAAACTTTATCTAAAAATCTGTGCTAGAAATTTACCTTGAAGATATACCTAAGTATGAAAATATATTTGAAAATACCCAGTAAGAATACTTGCTGTAGCAATGTGTGTAAATGCAAAATATTGGATATAGTCTGTCTTCTAAACTTAGAAGATTTTTTAGTCAATTATGAATATATATACACAGCAAAATGCTATGCAACCTTAAAAAAGCATAAGAATGATACTTATGAGCTAAAAAGCCAGGACATATTGGTAAGTGAAAAAAATAAAAATGTAAAACATAGAGTATGTTGCTTTTTGTGTAAGAAAGGAAGAGAGATTGGAAAGTACATGTGTATGCTATTTTTGCAGAGGAATCTGAAAGGATAACTAGACACTAATAGAGATGGAGAGATGAGGTGGGAGGGGACAGAGAAGGGAGTAAAAAGGACTTTCTTGCCAAGTCTCAGAGACTTTTTGAGCACCAAAATAAATAAGAACAGTAATATATTATAGCACATTGAATAAAATAATCTGTGAGTCCACACTAATAATAAATAGGAAGGGAAATTTTTTTCTAATAGAATGTCAACTAAACATAGAAGGAATTTTGAAGTTAAAAAATGACCTTTTGGCAACCATCATAGTAAAAATTTATTAATAAGACTTGTCAGTGAATGCTAACTCTAAGGGGAAAAGTTTGATGAGAATGAAAAGTATTTTATAGATACTTATTAATTGCAAGAGGAAAAAATAGTAATTGTACAATGATCAAAATCAGTTTTGCCACTGGGCATGGTGCTTGCCTGTAGTCCCAGTGACTTAGGAGGCTGAAACAGGAGAATCACAATTTCAAGGCCAGCCTCAGCAACTTAGTGAGACACTGTCTCAAAATAAAAAGTGTCCCTGGGTTCAATTGCTAGTACTGGGAGAAAAAAAAAAATCAGTATTACCAGTGAGAGACAAGCAAATATGTACTCTAGAAGGCTATAACATACCCTAGTTAAAGATGGTATAACTGGAATTAATCATGAGGGAAATGTCTTAAACTGAAATGGAGGGACATCCTATAACATAATTAGTTTACATCAAATAATGGTAATGTGAAAGGTAAGTCAGTTCTGAGAATCTTTTCCAGTTAAATACACATCAATTGTAATTAAGTGCAATGAATGATCCTGGATTACATGGAATGGGGGTAGGGGTGTTGGAGCTATGAAGAACATTATTGCAATAGTTGATTAAATTAGCCTACAACTGTGGATAAAATAAATGTATCAATGTTCCAATTTCCTGAATTTTGTAACAGTGCTATAGTTATTAAAAAAAGTAGTTGTTCTGAGGAACTACACATGAAAGAATAAAGGGATAGAATGTAAACAATTACCTCAAGTGGTTCTGAAGATGTATATTTCATATATATATTATATGTGAGAAGAGAAAGGTTAAATAATTATGTGAATAGTTAAAGGTTGGCAAACCTGGTAAAAGACTATAGAAGAGTACTTTGCAGTGCCAACTATTCTGTGTATTTGAAACTAATTCACAATAAAAAGAAAGCAAGGCAGACGGGTATAAGTTATTGACATCCAAGAGTAGAATGACAGAGTTAATAAATCTCAGTTTCTTCTGCCTGATTTTTAGATCCTTGAAACTGAGTTATGTTCCAATGATTCTTTTCTCTGGCTTTTCCCAGGAAGACCAGCCCATAGTTGGGTTTTTAATGAACATTTGTGAAAGAAAACTCAAATTATAAATAGCTTCTCATAGTATCCTTTTCCTTTCTCTTATAGGACATCGGGGACACATTAAGCAGGTATAGTTTTCTCTCCCCCTAGTGTTAAATCAAGCACAGGAAGACTGTCTCACTCACATTTGTAAATCCTGAAAGGAGCCCAGGGCCCGAGATGGACATCTTCCTGAATTGCTACCTATCTCTGAAGAGTCACCGGTGTGCTAAGAACTAGATTAACCACAACTGTTCTCTGTAAAACTTGGAAATTATTGGCAAATTGTGGAGGTGGGGTAAGATAGGGGTTCACATTTGAGAGTGTTGGTGTTTATGGGTGTGAGGACACTTCCATGGAGAGGTTGGGAACTTACAGGAGTTGGACATTACAAGGACACATTATGGCTGTTACTTAATATGAATTTTAGAATCTATTTATCATTCTCTTTCTCTCTTGCTATAATGGGGGAAATTGGGCCTAAAGAAAGTGTAATGAGCCTAGAGGTATAAAATTACTGATGAACCACTTGAATTCTGACTTTTCTCATTATTTCTCTATAATACTACCAAATGGAAGATGAGGAGGCCTGGGGATGTAGCTCAGTGGTATAATACCTGGTTGGCATGCACAAATCCCCAGCACCAAGAGGAATATGAGGAAGAGCTTCCTGGGGACATGACCAAAAAAGAAGGGAGAACTTGAAGAGGGCAAGAAACCAGGGCAGAGTTATATTTGTAGGATTGATGGTAAGAGCAAATCTAATAGGCCTCAGGAAGCTGACATTTACAAAACTTTGAAGTTGATTAAAAATCAACTAAATTTTTAAGTTAAAAATCCTAAATTTTTGGTGAAAATCTTCCAGTGGAAACTATATGGAAAGCTACTATTGAGGAGATTGAGAAGGGTTCCATAGAAGGGGTAGGTTGGCTAGGAGGACTATGGTTATAGAAACATGTTGATAGGAATAAGGTTGTTGAGGGTCCTCAGGATGGAGATAACTTGGAACTTATACCAGTCCCAGATAGATGTTCCAAGAAAATATTGCCTCTATCTGGTACTTTTTGATAATAACCATTTCTGACCCATCATAAGGGCCTAGATCGCACAGACCTAGTAGTATGTGATATTAAGGACTGGGATTAGCTATGTGAAATAGGATATCCAAAATTCCATTGGCTTAAGGCTTCAACATAATTTTAAAAATATGTTGCCGTATAAGAAATGTGCAGGTAGGTAGACTGAGGGCTGGTAGAGTGGCTCCAGTGATCCTCATATTTCTGATTTCTTCCCATTTGCTGTTATATCATCTCTGAAGTATGGTCTTCATATCGACGAAGTAGCTGCTAGAATGCCAGCCAAGAGAAAGAAAATCACATTTCTTTTTAAGCAAATTTGTTTTCAAAATATGAGATACTTCTTAATCTCTCATTGGCCACCTCAGTTACAAAGTCATATCCATCTATAAGGGAGACTGGCCACCCATGAGCCGTTAAATTTAGAAAAAAGGAGAAGAGGCACTGGGTGGGCAACTAACAGTCTTTGCCATAGACTTCCTTTTAGATGTGAGAAAATTGGGTGTTGTCCTTCATATAATGTCTGTCTGTCTGTCTAAAGATGTTATTCCTCCTGTATTTGGGAACCTGCAGATTATGGATAGTTGCCCACTGTAAATATCAAGGACTTCATCATGGACTCTACACCTTTGATAGTCAGTTTTGTAATGCATTTAGTTCAGTAAACTTTTTTGAAGACTTGCTAATTGGTTTCTATAACCATAGTCCTCCTAGCCAACCTACCCCTTCTATGGAACCCTTCTCAATCTCCTCAATAGTAGCTTTCCATATAGTTTCCACTGGAAGATTTTCACCAATTTCTCAGAAAATGAAAATGGGTAAGATTATCTCCCTTGTTTTGGTTTAGAGGATTATAGTTGTAAGAGAAGACATAAAAAGCTACAGTAGCTGTTTCTAAAGACTGTCTGCCTATGTTGAAAAGTTTGATTCAGGATCTGTTCTGGCCCATGATAGGCTATATAATTGGGGAGGGATTCACATGTGTTTTTTAAATTTAGGGCTGAAAGAATCAGGATCCCTGAACCTTGGATCACACCTCCAGATCTGCAAGAGAAAATCCACATTTTTGCCCAAAAATGTCTATTCTTAACGGAGAGTCTGAAGCAATTCACAGGTAATGTGAGGAGAAGGGTCATGAGAGGAATTAATTTATACTATTATAATCTATGTATTGCCTAAAAGGTTATATTTTTCTCAGAAAACCAAATAGTGGGAGCTGGGTATATAGCTCAGTTGGTAGAGAGCTTGCCTCACATGAACCAAGACCCTGGGTTCATCCCTACCACCACCACAAAAAAAAAAAAAAAGAAAAAGAAAACCAAATAGTGGGATGCAAACTGAATATCTTCTCCTTTTCTCTCCTCAGAAAAAATGCAGTCAGATATGGAGAAAATCCAAGGTAAATTCACCTATTACATACTGGACTTTTGATGATGGAATTTCACAAGAGGAAGAGCATCTGAACTTATAATGTGGGAAAATAAGATGGTTGATCTCTAATATTTTACATCTTTCTTTTAGTCTTAAATTTTTCATTTAATAGCCTCTTGTTCTCATTTGAAGTCGGTTAACTATATCTAATCAGTTCTCAGTCTATATGGAAGAGAAAAATAGGCAACTTAAAATGTAATCCAGAATTAAATTGATTATTTAAATTTTTTTTTTTAATTAGGAAAAAGAATGAACATACACTGTCCATTTCACATGAGCCAGTATTTATAATTTTAATTGACTGATTTCTTATAGCTGTAGACACAGAGCCATACTAGGCCAGGAGGAATGAGCAGCACTGACTGAGATAACACCAAGGAAGTGATTTTTGAGCCAGCATTCAGGAATCAGACTACTAAGGTTGTGGGCCCACCTATGTCACTTAATGTTTACAATGTTGCTGAGCATGGTAGCACTTGTCTATAATCTCAGGGACTTGGGAGACTAAAGCTAGAGGATCTCAAGTTCTAGGCTAGCCTCTGCAACTATGTGAGACCCTGTCTCAAATAAAAAAGACTGGGGATGTACTTCAATAATAGAGCACCTGAGTTCAATGCCTAGTATTCTAAATCTAAAATTTTCTGCTCATGAACCATTTTCACTTAGGAGTTGGCCAAATGCTGAATATTAAAATTTTTAGGCAGTCTGGTAGAGTCGGAAATTCTTACAAGTAGGTAGACTCTTATTTATTAAAAAGTACCAACCCCCATAATCTTTGATAATCTCATATCATGTATGCTGAATCCTTATTGCATCTTAGCTATATATTTATTTGGGGCCTCTAGCAATATAGATTTAGGACATGTCTTTCATAAGCAAGACAGCTAGGGAGAAACTCCATAATACAGTGGATGGTTTAGACATAGCTTTTCTTGATGTGGTTCTTATTAATGTCTCTGGTTCTTTTTCTACTTAAAAGGCTCAATAAGAACATATGTGAAAATGACTAGGAATGGTCTTGTTTGCCCCACAGTAGTAGTCACTTGAGCCACTCAGCCCTTAGAGCACAGACGGCTTATGAAAGTAAGGAGTTGTGTATGACTTGGGATTTGAACTGTGTTTTGCTCTACAGAGCTAGCCAGCTCACTTCAGGGTGGAATTCTTGCTTGGTTCAATTTGATTTCATATTCTACCAGTCTTAGGCATGTTGTTTTCCTTCTACCAAAGATTCTCAATCCCCCTTCTCTTAACGTCTTTAGCTAGATGATGAAGTCATACATTGTATGAGGAAATCTGCATGGCTGACAACAGGATTTCTGAGATTTTTAGTGGAGCACACTAACCAAAGATCTTTTGAGTTACGTATTCCTTGGAAATACTCAAATGGCTTTCATAACAACTTCTCTGTTTTTTCAGAATTGCGAGAGGCTCAGTTATATTCAGGTAGGTGATATATACAGGAGAAAGGAATAAAAATTCTGTGAACCTAACTACTATTGTGAATGATTTGTTGGAGAATTAACGTAATTTGGATTCTTTAGGTTATGTATGTAAACATGGCATATAACAACAATCCACTATATTTCTGTGTGATTACAGTTATCTTTGCAACCTAAGGTGCTTCAGAGCTAAAACCATTGGTGGTGGTGGTGGGGTGGGGTGGGGTCAATTTCAGGTGATAAGAAGGATCATAGAGTGTCAACTGCAGTTCCCCAAACTAGAACACTTCTGTGCATCTACTATAGTGCACTGCTCTGCCTCCTCAGCCTCAGGGGCAACATGCTGTTTGCAATAAGCAGGAGTGATTGAGCTCAACTGTTAACTCTAGTGCTAGAGACAGTCTAGGAATCTTGGTCATTCCATCACTACTTATTTTTTTTTATTTATTTTTTTAATATTTATTTTTTAGTTGGACACAGTATCTTTATTTATTTATTTTTATGTGGTGCTAGGCGAGCGCTCTACCGCTGAGCCACAACCCCAGCCCTCCATCACTACTTATGGGAAAAGATTGAAACTTCCCTTCCCCTTGACAATCACCTTTATCCTATAGTTCAGAGAAGCTGAATGGAATCTTCTTCATGAAGAGAAGGGTTCTACATATAAAAAGATCTTCTTTGGTGCTGCACTGATTGTGAGCCATATTTGGTTCTTTAAATAAGTATTAACTGAATCCTTTGCTTTTATACCATACAGTTTAACATTGTGTACTTTAAAGGAAACAAAAGAGTATAAGATACTAACTGCCCTGTCCTTGTAGTTTACATTGTCTGGTTGAAGATATGAGGTACACTCATGACATAAGAAAGAGGTAGGCCCAAGACTGGGTATATATAGCTCAGTGGTAGAGCAGGTAGCTGGGTGAGGCCTTGGGTTAAATACTTAGCACCAAAAAGGGAAAGACGGGTGGATATTGTATATTGTGAACAGATTGAAGAACCAAGGGTTCTGGTCACTCTACTGGTGTCCTGTCATGAACCTTTGTTGGGAGTCACTTAGTCTGACTGTGTTTTGATTTCTGAGAGGTAATGTTTGGGAATCCTTCTCATAAACAAGATGTGAAGAGCAAATGAGAGACTACATCAGTGCTTTTGAAGCAAGAAGGTTCCATATGGTGCAAGAGGCAGTAGTGCTAAATAACAGAAGAGATGACATGAATTATACAGTTTTAAATTTAAAAGCAAGAAGAGTACTGGTGTGGGCTGGTTAAGAAAAACTGGGGAGCTAGGAACAATAGCACATGCTTGTAATCCCAGCCTCTCAGATGAGGCTAAGGCAGGAGGATCAAAAATTCCAGGCCAGGCTGGGCAACTTAAGAACCTGTCTTAAAAAAATTAAAAATGCTGGGAATGTAGCTCAGTGATCGAGACCCTGGTTCAATTCCCAGTACCATAAATAAATAAGTAAATAAGAAAAACTGAGGAAGATATGGGCCTTAGAAGAAAATAGAATGAATGATTCAGATGTACAGGGTAAAGACCTAATGGAATGAATAAGAGTGAATGGGAAAGTAGGCAAATTGGTCCAGATTCCTCAGTTCCTTACCAACAGTTCCAAATTCTTTGAAAGCCAAAGTTTTGTTACCCCCCTCCCCTACATTGTTTTGCAGCCAATTAATTAAGGTACCAAAACCTGAATTTATGTGAGACTCTTTAGAGCTTTTATCCTATATCATGTGAACATTTGTATGTTTCACAGCAGATATGTTAATATTTGATTATAGGGTGCGTGCGAGACCTTAACTATTGTAATCTGAATTCTTTGGAACTTTTGACCCCTATAGCTTTCAAATTAAGTGATTGTGAAAATATAAAAAAAAAAAACAAAACTCAAATTTGGTAAATAATGGATGTTGTGGCTTAGGATGTAAAAGAAAGGGAAGGGGGCAGAGTGCAGTGGCACATGCCCGTAATCCCAGCGGCTTAGGAGGCTGAGGCAGGAGGATTGCTAGTTCAAAGCCAACCTCAGTATAAAAGCAAGGTGCTAAGCAACTCAGTGAGACTCTGTCTCTAAATAAAATACAAAGTAGGGCTGGGGATGAGGCTCAGTAGTTGAGTACCCCTGAGTTCATTTCCCAGTACCAAAAAAAAAAAAAAGTGGGAATGGGGGTAAAATTTTAGTATTTCACTATATCATCATTATAGAAGGCAACCACCTAATCCAACAGTAGTTTTTGAAATGTGAATTTTAAGATGTATTTCATAAGATGAATGTATCCTCTTAGTACGGAGCTCTTATTCTATACCCAGGGAGATAGAAGAAAGGCTAGGTGTTCTTGAGTGGGCTCTCCTGGACTTCAGGCTGACTCTCCCCTTTGTGTTTCTGCAGTGGACGTGACTCTGGATCCAGATACAGCTTACCCCAGCCTGATCCTTTCTGATAATCTGCGGCAAGTGCGATATAGTTACCTCCAACAGGATTTGCCTGACAACCCTGAGCGGTTCAATCTTTTTCCCTGTGTCTTGGGCTCTCCATGTTTCATCGCTGGGAGACATTATTGGGAGGTAGAGGTGGGAGATAAAGCCAAGTGGACCATAGGTGTCTGTGAAGACTCTGTATGCAGAAAAGGTGGAGTAACCTCAGCCCCCCAGAATGGATTCTGGGCAGTGTCATTGTGGTATGGGAAAGAATACTGGGCACTTACATCCCCAATGACTGCCCTTCCCCTGCGGACCCCTCTCCAGCGGGTAGGGATTTTCTTGGACTATGATGCTGGTGAGGTCTCCTTCTACAATGTGACAGAGAGGTGTCACACCTTTACTTTCTCTCATGCTACCTTCTGTGGGCCTGTCCGGCCCTACTTCAGTCTGAGTTACTCGGGAGGGAAGAGCGCAGCTCCTCTGATCATCTGCCCCATGAGTGGGATCGATGGGTTTTCTGGCCATGTTGGGAGTCATGGTCATTCCATGGAGACATCCCCTTGAAGAGGTGAACGCAGACTAAAAGGGCTGTTGGCTATAATTGTACCCCAGGCACAAGGCATCTTGTTGCCTTGCCGATTCCTGTCTGTCACAGCTGGGTACCATTTTCCATTCCCTTGCAGAGGCAGACAGGATGTCCATGTTCTTTACTATCCTTTTCCTTCCCCTGCAAATTGTGAGATGTAACAAGAAGTATCAGTATTTCCCCAAAAATAAAAACCAGATGTCCTCCTCCAGTGTTTCACATTTTTTGGTTTTACATAGAAACCAGATAAACAGCAAATAATAATCTTTGGATTTGGAGAGCCACTCAAGTTACTTACACCATCTTGGCTTAGCCTGGCTTCCTCTTGCTCAGTCCACATAATAATCATGGGAATTTTACTGCCATTTCTTGACTAGGGATCCTTTCTGAGAACCTAGAATGGAACTGCAAGGCCCTGTTAGCATGGCTTCCTTTATTCCAATTTTTTCTTGGAAAAGTACGTCTACCCTTGATTTTCAGTCTGCCAGTTTTTTACTAACAAGGGTCTATATGTGTTTGGGTTAGTTACAGTTATTTTACAATAATGGTGAAAAATGGCCCCACTTCTACCATGAGAGGATATTCTAATCAGTGTTTCTGCCTCTAAATCTTTTCTGGGGCTTTATTTGTTCCCTTCATACTAATGACAGGTGTCTCCTAGTGCTGGGTGCACATCATTTCAGGTCACCATCTACTATTTCTAGATCCTCTCCCAGGCACATCTATGGACTGGTGGTCAGTTAAACACTATCTCTGGAAGAATTCTAGTATTCCAGAAATTTGTTGCCTTTTTACCTCCTTTTCTCTATCTCCTCTGGGAGATGGGGAAATTCACCTTCATAATGTGTGTATCATCAAGGGGCAACTCCATCCCAAATGGCCACTGGATCTTGAGACATTCTGGAATCAGAAGGCTAAGGCGGGTTACTTTGAGCAAGCCCCATGATGGTTCTTGGTCTTACTTCTCTTTGGGAATATGCTCCTCTGTTTAAAAAATAAAGTAAATATGGATGTTTACATTGCTGTTGTGTTGTGGGTCTTGGTCAGATTGGGTTCACACATGGAGCAAGTAGGGTGTCAACTTCCACTATGGTTTCAGAATCCTATTCTGGCCAATGTTTTTCTTACATCTGGGTGATAAAACTAGTTTCTTAGTGCCCTGACACTGACTCTAATGGTGCTGAGAAAGTAATGTTGGGGCCAGGCACTGTGGTGCATGGCCATAATCCCAGCAGCTTGGGAAGCTGAGAAGTTCAAAGCCAGCCTCAGCAATTTAGTAAAGCCCTGAACAACTCACTGAGACTCTGTCTCAAAATAAAATATAATAAAAGGGCTGGGGATGTGGTTTAGTGGTTGAGCCCCTCTATGTTCAATCCCCTGTACCAAAAAAAAAAAGTAATGTTGGATATTCCTGGCTTGGAATATGTCAGAAGGCCCAAATTTTGCTTCCTAACAGAACCACCATCCCAAACCCTTGGGGTACCTAGTCACCATGTACTGAGGAAGAAATATGAGGCAGAGAGGCTCTGTTTCCAGGAATTTGATCTTTTCTACTTCTGAACATGGCTTCTGAAGACAAGATTCTGTTAGCTATATATCCTTTCATTGACGTTTGATTGCTATCATGAATTGTTGATAATGTGTCATTTATTTATTCATCAGGCTTTATGAGAAATAATTCAGAGATTACAGAAAAGGGATTCCATGAGGCTAGATTAGCTTTTACCATTTTATTCTGAGATATAAATGCATAGAATAACAGATACATGCATATAAATTATGATTCACAGAGCAATGCTTGGAACATAGTGTGAAGAGTAACAGACTTAACACAACAATCTCATGAAGTGTGTATTGTTGCCCTTATTTTACAGATAAAGAAACCGAAACAGGGTAAATGACTTACCCTAGGTGTATAGCTAGGAAGCAGCAGAGCCAGGATTCAAACTGAGATGGAACACATGACCACATACCTCAGATTCTTACACATAGTATATATACATAGATTATGCTTTTTACATGGGAAAGGCAGAGCAGAGACTGGACACCTTGACGTGCCAGTTCATCAACCTGAGACGCCTGACTATGACTATTTACTGTAGACTTGAGGTTCTGTAACTGGAAAATGGAGTCAAGACTTCCATTCAAAAATCACATTCCACTTTCACTTAGTCCCTTGGAGCAGGAAGGAAGAATAAAGATACCTTGTACGCTTTCAAGGAAATATGCCCTTGAAATGGACTCCTGGTTTTTACTGTCCCAGTGATGAGGCTATGGACATATCTATAAGGGTAAATCTTAATGCTGGGTGAAAAAAGTCTTCAAAAACTATATACTTAAGATACCCTTCTTAAATGAACAAAAAAATCATGGTTATTTTTATGAAGTGTGGGGAAGGAAGGAAAAGAAGAGGATATTGGTTGATAATGTTTTATTAGCTTCTAATTTGGGGGTGTGTGTTTCTAGGTATTTAAATTTTGTTTTTAAATGCTAGTTTGGGGATAAATAAACTTGTAAATGATTCTAATTTTACTCATCTGCAGAAAAATAAGAAACCTTTGAATTAATTGAGTGAGGATATGGGCCACTAAAGACAAACATGGGACTCAGGATTCTTCTGGCTCCTCTTTATTTCTTTCTTTGGAACACCTGAATTTTTTAATTGGGGTTACAACAACTTCTTTTTACTAATGGAGGAGAATTTTGTATGTGTGTGTTTATATGCATGTGCACACACACTTGGGTCTTGAGCTGCTCTTATTTTTCCTGGTACAGCCCAGAATGCAGAGAAGAGCACCTTTCCCAAGAGCGGATGAGGCCCAGAAGAGATGTTCAGAAACTAAGGAACCTGAGTATGCTTCCTATCCTCTACATGTACATTTAAGAGAAGATGAGAGATTATGTCAAAATTGCCTACCACTTAAAGGCACACTATGAAATTAAGAGCAAATTGCTGTCAGATGGTAAATGAAAGTCATTTGTTACTGTTATCTATTAACATTTATTATGGTCATTGATTGTCTCTAACAAAGGGTATATGAAGGAGGAAATCACATCTCCCAGAAAAATAAAACAAAGCTCAAAAGGTTCAACAAATGGAAGACAATGATCCTTTGATTCAAATACACAATTAACCAGTGTTGGGTATCCTAGTTGAACCTGACTATGGGGGAGAATACAAGATAGCATGGTTTCTGTCCTTGGAAAAATAAAAGTCAATAAGGAAAAATAACAAAAAGAAGTAAACAAAAGATTATCTCAGGACTCTGTGTACCACAGTAATCTTAAGAGGAAGCTGAAATGCTAGGTCTACGTTTCTTAGTACCTTAGTCCCACCCCAAATTCCAAATCCTGCACCATGTTAGGGATTGAACTCAGGTCCTTGAATCTGCCAAGCAAGCAGTCTACCACTATGGGTTCCTTAGTACTCTTTTTTCTTGAGGCTGAGGGCCTAATGCCCACTAGCTTGGTCCAGCAATAAATATTAACTATGCAATTAATTTACTGAATTAATATCCTGAACCTTGTTTATCCCAGAAATTCCTGCTATGAAGTCTGCACAAAGAATAATGAGAAAGCCCCAAACCAAACCAGAGTTGGTGGGATTATTATAAGGGAATTAATTGGATCTGCCAAGTAAGTATTTTAAATATTAAGACATGCAAACAATACTTGTATTTGACAGTATTGCCCTAGTTATATTTCCTTTTTTGTGTTGAGGAAGTGTAAATTAAACATACCTGGCTCAGTTGTTGCCTTAATTTTGCATTTGACCATTTGAAATGTAAGCAGAGCATCTGAAGATAACCCTTTTGGTTACACTCATGTCTCTACCAGATTCTTCATTCAAAGAGCATATAGAATTTGGATTTTTATGGGCTGTGATGCCAAATCCAGTTCAGTTTGTGGTACGAAAGAATGTAATAGAAAAAGTGAAGAGAATGAATTTTAGTCTAGAAAGATTTCACATTTTTAACCTAAATATTATTATTTTTTCATACTTTTTGGTACTGGGGATTGAACCCAGGGGTTTTTAACCACTGATTATTACCCCCTACCACACCTTTTTAAATTTTTTTTTAATCTTGAGACAGTGTCTCGCTAAATTGCTTAGGGCCTTGCCAAGTTGCTGAGGCTGGCTCCAAACTTGAAATCCTCCTGCCTCAGCCTCCCAAGTCACTAGGACAACATATTTTTTTTTTAATAATATGCCAAAACAACTTGCATTGATGCTTTTGATGAGATAATACATCATTTTTTCCCCCCTCTGCAGTTTTGAAATGCTGGGAATTGAACCTGGTGCTTCTAGATGCAAGCAAGTGTTCTACCATCCACAACTGTTTTACTTCTGTATTGAACCTTTCCTGGTAGAGACCTTTTAAGTATACACAAAAATGGGGAAAATGTATAATGAAACCACCATCCTATCTCCCAACTTCAACTATCAATTTATGACCAATAATATAACCTCATCTCAATTTTGATACTCTCTCCCTCCCCAATTCTAAAGTGAATCCTGATGACTAGGGATATAGTGCAGTTGGTAAAGTTCTTGCCTCACACGCACAGGTTCAATCCCCAGCACCACAAAAAAAAAAAAAAAAAAAAAAAGAAAGAAAAGAAAAAGTGAATCCTAGACAAGATATCAGAAAGCAAGATGATTTTATGAATTTCATATAAGACACTCCAGGGACTAGGAGTGTAGCTCAGTGGTAAAGTGGGTGTTTAACATGCATGAGGCCCTGGGTTCAATCCCCTTACTATATGTGTTTTTTTGTTTTGTTTTTTATGTAGACCACCACTTTCAGCTTGTTTCCTTTTTAGTCTCCACCACCATCTTTAAATAATTTGTTAGGCCTTTAAATTTCCTCTTGTAGAAGACATTTTCATAAAATTATAGGATGGCCTCTGGGGGAGTCCTACTGTATAATAAATATTATTTATTAGTCAATAGTAAAAACAATTACATATTTAATTATATCTCATCTTATTCCAAAGAAGATGTAAAGCCATTTAAAGCAAAATCAAGAGAGCCACAGCCTAACATGCCATAAAGGAAGAAAGACTCAGGGTGGCACCAAATTAAAAAAAAAAAAAAATACTACGAACAAAAGTAAATGCACAGCATAACATTCCAAGGAAGCTAAATGTAGGCCACAATTTGGTTTTAAAGATGGACCCTGTTTTATTTTATAGCTCATAATTTCCATGAGATAGAAATAAACTAAATGTTCAAAGGAACTTAATGAAATTCTTGTTAGTATATATGAGGGGAATTTCTCCTTATGTTCTTGGTAAGTAGAAACTATGTCACAGAGTTTATTTTTCATAAAGTGAGCTATGAGCCAGTAAGAAAAGGTGAACACCTCAATAAAAATTTGATAAGCAGTTTACTGAGGAAGTATAAAAATCCTTTCAACCTGAATGTTGAACTTAATAATCTGTAAAATATGTATTATCATTTTTAACCTATTAAAATATTCTGTTGTTTGAACCTAGTATCTTTTGTTGGTCAGGCTTGAGGTGTTTAAATTGCCTCACTTTTTTTTTTTTTTTTTTTAAATTATTTTACACCCTTATTTTATCCCAGGGCCTCGAGATGTGCTAGGCGAGCACTCTACCACTGAGTCACAACCCCTCTCCAACATTTTTTTTTTTTTAAGCAGGTAGTTGAACAGCATGTATTAAAAGTTTTCAAAACTGGATAATCATTGATCTAGTGATTCCTCTTATAAAAATTTGAGGAAATAATTATGGATGCTTGAAAATATTTACACAAAATTGTTCTTTCCGGTATTGCTCATGAAAATAAAAAATTAGAAAAAATCCAGTGTTTGATAATGCATTTGATATAATATCTGCAGTTATGAAAATTTATGCAAAAGAATACTTCTTAAAAAGTATATATGTAATATGTTAATTTGAAGAGTAAATTAGCCAAGTATATATTAAACATGACTTTTTGAGATCTGTATGACATATGATAGGACTAAATTCTAACAAGTGAAGAAGTTATG